TTAGGCTATGAACGACTTGCACACACGTCGTTAATGCTGTTAAACTGTGTTCCTTTGGCTCTCCACGGTCGTGAAGAATGGCGGCTGGTGCTTGATGGTAACATTACGTGCTGGGTCCAATGGTGGCAGTACGTCCTGATCGCTTACAACATCGTATTTGTGATTCCATTTCTTCTAGTTTTATTGGTGGGAACATCAAAGCTGGAACGCCAAAAGATAAGCGCATTGCAGTTTGTTGCAGCTTGTTTTGTGCCTTTACCTTTCTTGATATACTGGATGTTGAGGCGCTGTTTTAGAAGTGACAGTGATGATGACAGACGAACTCCTCATCAAAGCCCCCAGGGCGAAGAAAAACGTAAAGCTCTACTTGGGGTTCTACAAGGACCGTTCAGACCTCCAGACAGCCAATCAAGAGGAGCCTCTTACTGGGAAAGCATTCTTATTGGTCGCCGTTTGGTTTTTCTGTGCCTGTATTCATTCATATCAACCCCAATGCTGCAAATGCTCCTTATGACAGCTGTTTGCATCGTCATTCTTGTCCATAATATTGTAGTCAGACCGTACAAAGATCAAAAAGCACACCTTTTTGGCGTCATCATGTTATCCATGCACGTTGCCTTGGCGATTATAAATCTTTGTAAATCTGTACTTCATACTGTTGGCGTGACACCAACTGGTCCAATTGAAGCACAGATAAAAGGTCTACAGCTATTTGAAGTAGCATTACTGGGAGCTCTACCACTCATTTTTGTATTACTAATTCTGTTAACCCTGCTCTCCCAAATCACTCGGGTATTTGTGATCGTGTTACGATTCTTCGTGCTCAGATCAAGAGGCAAAGTGCGAGCATTGGCCATAAACAGCGACAATGATAACCGTCGACCATTATTAGCTTATGCTGGCGAGCAAGAAAGCCTCTCTTACAGCACAGGAAGTGAAGTGCAAGAAAAAGATTGTATCAGATAGAACGTTCAAGAGCAAGTGAGCAAGTATATATGATAAACAATAAGATATTTGCCTTGTAGAATAGTATTTATAGACAGATAAGAGGCCTGTTCTCAGTCTGACCCCTAGCTCAGCTGGTAGAGCATCGGTAGTACGATTCCGAAGGTCTTGGGTTCGAATCCCAGCGAGGTCGGAAATCAAATGTTTCCGAATTTGATTTCAAGGGCTTTCGCCCGGAATAACCTCGTTCCCAAGCA